TCTAGAAAGCATAATTCTTTTTAAAGCCCTTTGTTATTTTCCCTACTTCTAGGCACTTTCCTTATTCAAGTCTTTCTCCTGCTCCTGAAAGACTGTTTCGTCTAAGCCTGTCTTAGTATCTTTGAACTAGTGAAGAACCCGAGAAAGCTCACTGTGATACAGTGAAATTGAATGCTTCTCATACATTAAAAAATGCAGATTCTGGGCTCTGCTCCAAAATTTGCCCGTTGATGTGATAGAAGTGTTAAAAGAAACTCTGGTTGCAGTAGTTAAGACTTTGGAACAGGACAGAATTGAATTTAAATTCTGGCTCAGCCACTTGCCTGCATTGATTTTTCTGTAAATGGCAACAGAATATCCATGTTCCCATTCTTCTAATCCACCTTTACCACCCAGCACTAGAATATCTTCTTATTTAGCACTTTAACATTTATAAAATGCTGTCACACATCACATACTGTATGTCTCTTAATCCTCTAATTTAGTTGAGATATTAAAATCTGCATTTTCAGATGAAAAAAAAGTGTCACAGAATGTGGTAGAGAGTCTCCAAAAACAACTGCAGTGATTCCTCCCCACCCTGGACACATGGTACAACATGCTGCTCCCCCCATCAAGAGACAGTTTGTTTTCTTTCCCTTTGAACTTGGACTGGCCTTGTCACTTGCTCTGACCAACAGAACATGGTGGAATAAGTGCCACTGCCCGTTCTGGGCCTTCAGAGACCTAGCAGCTTCTGCTTTGCTCTCTTGTGAGGAAGTCCAGGCTATCCTGCTGGAGTGAGGCCATCGTGTGGAGAAGCACTGGAAGATGAGACATCACGTGTAGAAAGAGGCTGCATGGGTGAGAACTGAGGCATGCTAGAAGTCAGCATTCCGGCCCCAGACACGTGAGGGAGACCTTCCTGGATCTTTTGACTCAGCCATCAGCCAACTGAATGCAGTCACATGAACTGCATGTGGAGCCAACACCACAAAGTGGAGCCAAAAACTGCCAAATCAACACACTGTATTGTGATAAGTAATAAAAACCCTTGCTGTTTTAATCCACTAAGTTTGTGTGTGTGTGTGTGTGTGTGTGTGTGTTTAAATTATGCCTTCCTCTGTTATAGAAGATTTCAGATGGTTTACAATGATCTCTATACTCCAACAAGGTGACACCATAATTAGCGAATAGCAGAACCATGGTCAGAGCCCTGGTCATTTGACTTAAGGCTGGTGTGTTCCAACATAACAAAGCCAACGAGCTGGGGAGGGGGTTCTTCCTACTATGCCATGACTGTGCAAGACATATTCCTGCCTCTTCCTTTTATACACCCACTTCCTGGAGTGCTTTCCTTGCTTGCTTTGCCTTTTCAATTCAGTAAACTTTATGTTGTATAATACCGAATATGACTGACCTTTATCCCTGGTTCCTGGGAGGTACCCTCTTGGGCCAGCCCGTGGCTCACTCGGGAGAGTGCGGTACTGATAACACCAAGGCCACGGGTTCGGGTCCTGGGAGGTACCCTCTAAATCTTTGGAGATTCTCAAATGATGAGTCCTTTTGCTATTCATGGTGAGCCCCTGAGACTATGCCTGAGTTTATGCTAATGAGGTGACTCACGGTGGGCCCCTAGGTGGTTTCAAGATGGGGTTGGCCATGCCAGAAAGAACCATATGATTAGAGGATTAGGGCTTTGAGCCACATGATCAGCCTGACCTCTGGGGAGGGGAGAAGAGAGGGTATGGAGAATGAGTTCAGCCTTATGACCAATGATTTAATCAACCATGCCTACATAATGGAACTCCAGTAAAAACTCTGGACACTGAATCTCAAGTGAGCTTCCTGATTGGTAATCATACATTGTGTTCCAGGAGGGTGGCATGTTCCCAAGGAAATGGAAGCTTCACATTTGATATCTGGGAGGATATCTGGAGGATAACCTATGCATCTCTTCATTTGGCTGGT